GCCTTTCATTTATTTATGATTTGTATTTTAATTATATTGAATTTATGTTGTTTTAATGAAATGAATGAAAAAATGAGAAAAATGGGTAAAATCATGTGAATTATGCAAAGTTTATTTAAATATAAAGATGTTTTGTTTACTTCTTGTATTTGTAGAACATGAATGTCACAGGCACTTTAAAACACTAAAGTCTGTTTAAAACCTCTTAATGCAAGAAAACAAAACAAGTTAGGTACAAGTTTTAATCAAACATTAATCTTTTGCTGCTAATGTGTCTAAAATCTATTTTATGAATGTTATGTTAGACTAGATTTTATGCCTTAAAAGATGTCTTATAAAAGGTCGCCCAAGGTGAGAGGCAGACTTTACGTCTCCCTGTATCGCGACGGCAGCAGAGGGATAAACAAACTCTCACCGCTCGCTGAATATCATCAAAGTGATTTTTAATCACTCTGGAAAGTAGCAGTTTGTTTGCAGCTCTGGCATCAATTCAAATTACCGCTAACAAGGGAGTTTCTGACCATTTTGATAACCAAACACTAATCTCTCGCTCGCAGCGTGGGTTCATTAGTGATGCGAGGATGGGGGGAGAAAAAAAAAAGAAAGCTCAGCCTCGCCGTCTTAAAGGACGACGCGGCTCCGCAGGGCTGTGATGTAGCACCGAGCTGCTGCCAGCGCGGAGCGCGCGCGTGTGTGTGTGTGTGTGTGTGTGTTGGCTTTTGCCGAGGCTCATCGGTTTCTCACGTAGCAGCGAGGTGATAGTGTTGTGGGCTTTAAGGTTTGGTTTTTCCCGGCGATTATTAACGACCTGTTTTCTCTCCCCGCTCCAGCTGTGATAGTTGGAGGCGTGGTGGGCGCCCTGTTCGCCGCCTTCCTGGTGATGCTGCTGGTGTACCGGATGAAGAAGAAGGACGAGGGCAGCTACACGCTGGAGGAACCCAAACAGGCCACCGTCACCTACCAGAAACCAGACAAGCAGGAGGAGTTTTACGCGTAACACTCGGATGCCGAAGAGAGACACGCAGCACACCCCCTCCCCCAGGGCGGGGGGAGAAACGAGAAGAGAGAAAGATACTCTGAAGCCCTCCCCCCTTCCTCCTCCTCCTCATTCTCCTCATCCTCCCCTTCCCCTCCTTATCTCCTCATCCCTCGCCTTTCTCTCTGGGGACTTTGTTTTCAATGAAATGGGGGACAACAAAAAAAAGAGGACAAAAAAAATCAAATATATTCAGAAAAAAAAGTTCACGTACACACAGATGTTTTTAAAGTAMCTGTTGTTATTAATATTCTGCAGATTTTCTTGTTCTGTATGTAACGATATGATTATTTTGTAAGAAAAGCAAAAACATTCTCCTAATCTGTGTTCTGCAACAAACACGTGAAAAAAAGGCCTAAAAGAGGAGGAGGAGGAGGAAGAGGAGGAAGGGCGAAGAGGAAGCGGAGAAGCTCAGACGGAGCGCGTCCTGGTTGGCCGTGCAGAGACCAGGGTCAAAGGTGAGAGGAAAGGTTTCTTTTGTGCCTTCCGTCCCTTTGCTGCTCAAAGACAGACGCACACATGTACACGACGACATCAACACAACCTACACACGCACACACACACACACCGGTATCTGCTGGAAGCTGGCTCTGACCTCTCGCTCTGCTCGGCCAACCAGAGAATGACGCTTCGGTCCTCGCCTCATTCCTCGGCGTCGTTTAAGACCACCGCGGGCGAACTGTACCGTGTCGTGGACGAGCAGCAAGCCGGCAGCCCCTCTGCTCCTCCAGGCTGTACAAAGACTAGTTATGGATAGTAATAATAATCAATAATATATCAGCATTCTCTGGGGGCTGGATGGTGAATAATAAGATATCAATAAAACAATAATAATGATAATAATAATAATGAAACAGGAGGATGTGTATTTAGCATTTAAAAGAAAAAAAGAAGTTTATATGTAAATATCAACGTATCTTTTCTGGCGTCACTAACCATCTGCATGATCATGAAGCGTTTCTCTTTCATCACGTCACTTTCAGACGAGCTGTGCTCTTGTCACGTGCACGCACACACTCTTTTACACTCAGCTGCTGAGCTCATCATATCCACCCTCCTCATCRTCATCCTCATCAATAACTGCTGGGAGCGAAATCAGGATGATTTGTCGGTTTGTGTAAAAAAAAAAAGGCACAAAAACACGTCCAGTCCTTTTCTGTTTGCCTGCCTCGTTTTGTTTCTTTTCTTTTTTTATTTCCCCTCCGCCATCGATTGCCTCTCTGCAGGGCCGGCCCGTGGCGTAGGCAGTGTAGGCAAATGCTGAGGGCGCCGTCCATCGAGGGGGCGCCACATACGAGAGAGTAAAAACAATATTTTAAAACTTTTTTTATCAGAGTGTAGTTGATTTAGTCTGTAGAATAATCACTGGTTACTCAAGTTTATGGAGGTAATTTGTTCTGGTTTCTCAGCTGTTTGTAGGAGGTTAWATGGTGTAGAGGATATTTTGTGATAAAAGTATCATGATGCAGTCAGGACTAACCATTGATGCTCAGTGTTAGAATAGAAAATAAAATAAGGATAAAGGAAGTTTCAGTTATGATCCCAGAGAAAGTGCAGGTTAAAGTCTGGTTTTCAGTGTTCTACTTTCATAAAATACTGATTTTATGTTTTATTAATCCAGAGAACTTAGTAAAATGTTCTTCAAATGGCTGGACAGTGCATAGCTTTGAGTAAACCTTTAATACATTTTCATGGACCCCCCCCCAAAAGGGCTCGACACACGGGAGGCGACGTCGCTCGCTCTCCATTCATTTCCTATGGAGC